AGGATGAAGATTGAGTAATTGACTGTTGTAAGTAATAGGGCTATAGTTGGTTAGAGGGTTGTTGGTTGTAAGTATTGATTTAGTAGAATTAATTTGAATATTAGCCATATTGTAAAAGGATTCTGCTATTGATAATATTTGGGAGAGTTCTTGCTATAAGAAAGCAATCTATAAAGTGTCATCTATATAGGCAAGAACAAAGCAGTAAGATTTAAGTTTGTTGAATGTTTGGTTTTTAAGATTAGTTGGCCAGAAAACTTTAGTGTTGTATCCATTAAAGTTATTGTAAATATATAAGATAAGTGGGTTATAGTATATTCTCTATAGAAGAAGAGTGGTTTCTCTCTAATCAATATCATTAAGTACAGGATATGAAGAAGTAAGGTCAAGATTTGTGATAACTTAATTTTGTCAATCAGTAAGTAAATTAATGATAATGTTAATGATAATAGAAGGGAGAGCAAGACATTGCAAAGAATGTTTAAGAAGATTATGATTAACTGAGTCATAGGCCTTGCTTATATCTTGAGACAAAAACCAAATTAGTTTTTAGTTGCATGATGCATCTTCAGTAAGGTTGTTAAATATATGTATAGGTATTGAGGTACTGTTGTTTGGTAGAGCAACATAATTATATTGTGAGAGAATTGGATGTTGTGAGAATATTGTGCTAATTTTGTTTGTAATAATCTTTGTATAGACTTTATGAGTATGTTCAATTAAGCTTATAGGATGAGTAAGGTTAAGATCTTTATCAAATGTATTATGCTTTGGAATAGAGTATATTCTGCTATGCTTTCATTGTTTTGGAGTTTGGCCTGAGTTGAGGCAGTAATTAAATAGGGCAGTTATGGCTTTAATGCAAACAATACTTGCATGTTTAAGCATTTCATAACAGATACCTGTAGAACTATAGGCTTTTCTATTAGGAAGTTTTGCTATAGTTTGGAATGCTTCTTTTTCTATAATAGGAATGATACATAAGAGAACTATACTATTGAGTATCAATGTATGGTTGTGATTGGTATTGTGTAGACCAAAAATTATTAAATAGGTTTTGGTCAATTGGTCAATAGGCTGTTCAGTTGAAAAAATAAGATTATATATGTTGCTTGATAAGATGTGGCTCTGTAACAAGTTGGTTAGGAAGTTTAATATTTGAGAAGTGAATAGGGGATTTATAACAATTAAGAATACTGTTTAAAGCTTGTTTGGGATGTGTAGAGAATGTTTCACATCTTTTTTCAGTAGCTTGTTAGATTTGTTGTTGAAATAGCAGGGAGTTTTCAAAATAGCATGCATGGTAAAACTGTTTCCATATATTTTGAACATGCTAAGTTCATTTTTTGCAGGATTTTTTGTTTGAAATTGAGTATATAGCAGTATAAATAATTGAGTGTTCGATTTTGTGCCAGGTAGTTTCTATGCTTTCATTGGTGTTGCAATCAAGTAAAGTGTTATATGAGTTAAGTTTTTAAGAAAGCAGGTCAGAAAATTCTGTTTATTTTTCTGATGACATGGCATTGTAATTAAAAATTCAACAACTAATTTCAGTGTGATAGCATGGAGGTTTACAAATGCATTAGACAGAACCATGAAGAAAAAAGAATAAAGTGATCATTTAGTGTAGAGTTGTTACTATCATCAAGATTGTAAGAAAGAAAGAACTCTATATTAAATGCATCAGTCTATATGTAGTCAATGTGACTTTAACTAGTATTGTTTGACTATGTGTAGTATTTGTTATCAATATATGCACCAAGGTCATATATGTTGGCTTGATAAAGGTAGTTAGTGAGTCAAAATTTTGATGATGAGCTACAAATATCATCATGTGTATTAAAGTTACCAAAAATAATTAGATGAAGGTTTAGTTGGTAGGCTTATTGGATTCATGAAATGCCTGTTTTTTGTGTTTTATTATATTAATATGTGTCAGTAGAAAAGAGATAAACTGCTATAATGCAGAGCTTGATTTTACTTTTAAAAAAAAGGTCTAAAGCTACTGCTCCTTCAGAATATGTTTGACAGTTATATATATGTGGTTGAAGGTGATTGCGAATTATAATAGCAGCACCTTCAGCAGAATTTTCAAATTTTGCTTAAAAGTATATAAACTGATTATTGTTACAAAAGTAAAGGTTAGTAGTATTGGCAATTTTTGTTTCAATAATACAAGAAATATCAATATTATTATAAAGACAGTAATTTTGCCAAGCTTCTTTTTTGGTAATTATATTATATTCTCTAACATTATGTGTAGCAATGTTTAAATGAAAGTTATATAAGTTTTGCATAGTTATAAGAGTTTGTATTGAGAGTAGTAACAATGTTGAAGATGGTAATACAGAGGTAGAAATAGGTAAAGGTTGTTGTAGTGGTATTGAAGGTGTAGAATACAATGAGTTTGGTGTAAATATTGTTGAATATGGGTTTGTTAAGTTGAGAGAATCATCTCTGTTGTATTTGATTTTAATAAAATGTTTGGATAATGCCAAATAGCTTGAAGTGATGGAATAAAATGATTAGGTAGAGGTTTAGATTCAAATAGAAAATAAATATAAGCTTCACTGTAATCATTTTTAATAAAAATAGTTAAGGTATATCTACAAGCATTGCTTGGTAAGTAATCAAAACTATAAATATATTGTAAGAAAAAGATAATTGTTTGTAGATGTGAGAATAGTGAAAGGTGGTTATAGGCTAGAAATTTGTTATAGTATATATGAAGTTGTATAAAGCCAAAGTGTTCATTGGCAATAACAGTATCATTATGACCAGATAAAACAGTTTTTGCTAGTTGTGTATAAGTGTAATTTAAAGCATTATCTTCAAGAACAGGTTTGATATATTATGTGTTATTAAGTATTAGAAAATATTTTAAAGAAATAGGTATTGATAGATAAAATTCATAACCAGATCAATGTGAAATGAAGTGGTCAGATAAAGGTTCTGGTTTATTTAATAAGTGTATTAAGCACTTATTATAGTCTAGTTTAATTAATATTGCTAGTATAAAGTTGTAAAGATTGAATAGTGTGTAGTTGTAAGAATGTATGTATTCAAGAAAGGAGTAAAAAGTGTGTGGATGTGGAAGTAAAGGTATGCCTTGATAGGCTAGCTATTTATTATAGCATGAGTTTAGATCAACTAATAATTGTATAATAAGTCTTGTGATGTTTTCTTGAAGTGTGATAATGCAATAAGATTCAAAAAGGTAGAAGGTTTCTTTGTAGATTTGATCACTGTATGCTCAGCTCTCACAGCTGTGAAGAATGCCATAGTCTGCTCTGTATGTTGAGTCTGGCCATCATAAACTTGGTTCTCTTTATATATTTATAAATTTTTTTTTTTTTTTTTTTTTTAAATATTAAGGTAAGTACTTGCGACCCAAGATTTTATTGATAGTATATTTGGCTAATGATTGCTTTACAACTACAGGAGGCAACCATGGAGAGAGTGTACAACTAGTCACTTATACAACTTTAGTCATTGTCTAATTTAAGTAGTTCGCCTAAAGGTTCTACACTAGCTGCTATACCTAGAACCCACTTGTAGGTTCCCTATTTAACCACTTTGTTTCTATATCCACCTACCTACCTCTGTCTACCAACAACCTCGGCCAATGTCGGTGAAAATATGCCATAGCTACTAAGTCTTTAAAGTAGTTCTTTAGAACCTTTGACCTTGTACTAAACCTTCCAGAATCTTTTGTATCCCATTCTTACAGCTGATCTAGTATTGCTATAGCTGAGACCAATACTGGCAGTCAGAACATATTATTAAACTGCTATGCCCTTGTAAAGTTCACCCCAACCTTGGTACTTACTTCACAATATATCCTTACTACTTTGGTATTCAATTCAAGTTCCACCAAGCTGTCATTTCAGATAGCTCAGAAAGGTAGAACAAGACTGTATCTCTGGTTTACATATTTGCTAACATGTACTTTTTTCCTCCAGAACCTGGAAATTCCGGTGGCCTAGTTGGTTCATCTGGTTCCTCCTTAAAGACTGGCATATTTGCCTAGTTTCACAAGTTCTAGCTCTGTTTCATAAGTCTAGTCTTTACAGTAGCATCGTCGAAAGCTTAGGTTACTTCTCTATTCGGGTCTTTCAAGTAGGCTTCCATCTTTCTTCTATTGGTTTCTATGATTTATATAGCCATAAGAACTTATTGTAGGTTTGCATCGCCTGGTACTGGTTTGCATTCCTTCATGTAACTACAGACCTTGTTCTAAAGGACAATGTTATGTGACTGTTACACAAATGCCATATGACCTACCAGTCATGCTGGTATGACATAGATTACAGATATCTTATCTTAACCAATTGCAAGAGACAGTTAACTATAACACAGAGAGGATTTTTAAATTTTTTATCGATACTAGAATTTGAACTTTGGACCTGCCACTTGGGGGTTGACAACCTAACCACTTTACTAAGTCACCACACCTCTTATTTATAAATTTTTGAATATCTATCTAAGTTATATTATGATATAATATTACTTTTTTTTAATAATTTTATACTTTATTTAATTGAAAACATAAGATATTATATATATATTTATATATGAAATTATTTGGGCAAAAAGTAGTCTAATTAGAAAAATTTTTTGCTAACTTTAACAAAAGCTTTGTCAAAGTTAACAAAAAACTTGTCTAATTAGACTACTTTTGCTCAAATTTAATTGTGCAAACAAAAAGTTAATTAAAATATATTTTTAATATATAACTTATAACAATTTTATTAAATATTAATACAGTAATAGCTTATCTAACCTTTAACTCTAACATTTAAATTCTAGCTATCATGTCTTAATAAAGTACACAAACAAATATTATGTTCTTTTATATAGCAATTTGAACAAGTATATACATGTAATTAATTTGAGTTTTCATTAATAGCACTTAATGGTTTTTTTGCTTTTTGTTTCAATATATCCTTTTGCTTTTTACTTGGTCAGTCTTTAACTAAAATAATTTTCAGATTAGTAATCTAAATATTATTTTTTTGTTCTTGAACTAGCACACTATGAATACTATTTTCTTGTTCTTGAGCTGGCATATTACAAATATTATTTTCTTGTTCTTGATTTAATGCAGTATTATTTAAATTTGAAATTATAATATTTATTAACTTTTTTTTTTGTTGTATAAATTGATAACACCATTTATTTACTTCTTTTTTAGTTTCTGTTTCCATCACCAATATAAGAACAGTTTGTAATATTCTATAGCTTTTATCATAATGTATATAATTTTGAATAAACTTTTTACTAGGCTTTTTAGATTCTGAAGCTTCATATATAAAGATAAATTGTTTAAATCAGTTGGTTAATATAGTTTGATTAAGTTGGCTTGGTAAATTAGGCCTATTAAGAGCATTATTATGTGATCAGATTGCTGAAATATTATTAAATATATTTTTTGGTTCATTAAAATAAGCATTTTTATATAATCACTATATTATTAATAATATATAAAAAATAGCCATATCTGATTCTATAAGAACAGCAAAGTAATGCCTGTATATAATTCTACAGCTAACTGGCCAAGTACATGTACATAAAAATAAACTATTCTTAAGTAAAATAATGTAGTATATATTTTCAGAACCTACAATTCTAACAACATGCCAAGTTTCTTGAATTTTATCATATGATACATTACTTAAAATAGAATTAATATGCATTTGTTGTGCATTATAATTGTCTTTGATACATTTATCAGTAAGTTTAGATTTATTATTAGTGCAATATTCTTGTAAAATATCAAATAAATAACATTGATACTAAAGCACTTGTTGAATTTGTTGCTTTATTTTAGCAATTATATAAGATTTAGAATATTTTTCATATACTGCAATAATTTTTAAAAATAATGTTTTACTTATAGACTGACTATTATAGTTAAAGCTTATAGTTTTCTGAAAACAGCTGTATTTATTTTCTTTATCAAGATGCTCCTAAATTATATTATGTAATTTAATTAAAGATAATGATTGATTAATACTAGTCTTAATAAGGTTATTATAACACTCTATGCATTTTGTACTTTGAATGTTAGCATTAAAAATTTGAGTTGTAAAACAGCAGGCCCAACTTTGCTTTGATTAGTAAAGTTTATATAAATAACATTTCATAGCTAGATAAGTTTTAATCAATTGTTTATATTAGCATTCAAATAAAGTTTCCTGTAATACATTTCATACAGCATAAAAACTACTTATAAACTGATCAAAATGATTACCAAGTTTTGATTAGGTCTTTTTTTTAACATTATTTTTAAGATAGAATACACAAAGGTGGTAATAAGCTGTTACAAAAGTTTTAAAAATTGCTGTAGCTATTGCAGAATCAGAATTAAAAAAAATAACACCTGGTTCATATATTGGATTTTCTTTTTTAAGGCATGTAAGAAGCTAAGTAAAAGAGTTTATAGATTCATCTGACAATAGTACCTGGGCAACCAATCTATTTTTAGTATTATTATCAATTACAATTACCAAGGCTAATGGTCATCAGTATCTGTTAGTCTTGCAAGTTGTATCTAATAAACAAACATCATCAAACCTTGATAACAATTGCACTTATTTATCTGATTGCCAAAAATTTTTCTTAAGTTCACTATCTATATCACCAATTACAGAATTAACCATGCAACCAGAGTCTTTTTTTTTTTGACACAAAAGGTAATTTAATTAATTAGCAGCATCATTCTTAAGTCCTTTAGGTATACTTTTTAATTAACTTATTATATTATAGATACTTTGTGGTTTAATAAGGTAATTAGGATATTTATTTTTAAGTAAGTTAATTATCCTACTAGGTTCAATATAATAATAATGATACAATTTAACTTTATTGAGCATTTTATAAGTTAATCAACAATATCTTGATGCATTATTTTTAATATTATCATCTATAGAATGATTATAAATTGAATCATCATCAAATAATAAACAGCAAATTGTTAATGCTTTGCTACTTATTGAAAAAATACAATATCATTTACAATTCACAACAGTAGCATTACAATTATATTGATTATTAGGATCAATTGTTTGTTTAGATTTCTATTGTCCAAATAAGTGCTACACTCAAATAATGTTTCATAGTATCCTAT